CCCCAACACTCCCCTTTTCCCCCCCTTTTCCCCCCCAGGAGCTGCTGGAGGCCGCCCGGCGCGCCTTCGACGCGTTCTTGCAGCGCTACCCGTACTGCTACGGCTACTGGCGCAAGTACGCCGAGCTGGAGCGGCGCCTGGGCAGCGCCCGCAGCGCCCAGCAGGTGGGCACCCTGCCAGTCCTGGGGAACCCTCCTTTGCCCCAGGTTTGGGGTCAAAATCCCACTTTTTCCCAGGGTTTGGGGTGAAAATCCCGCTTTTTCCCGAGGTTTTGGGGTGAAAAATCCCTTTTTTCTGATTTTTTTTGAGTTAAGTCTCGCTTTTTCCTGATTTTTTGGGGGTAAAATTCCCTTTTTTCCTGAGTTCTGGGGGAAATCCTCCTTTGCCCCAGGTTTGGGATGAAAATCCCACTTTTTCCTGAGGTTTTGGGGTAAAAATCCCACTTTTTTCTGATTTTTTTAGGGTTAAGTCCCACTTTTTCCTGGTTTTTTGGGAATAAAATTCCCTTTTCCTCTGAGTTCTGGGGGAAATCTTTCTTGCTGAGTTTTTGGGGGTAAAATTCTCTTTTTTCCTGTTTTTTGGGGGGGTGAAAATCCCACTTTTTTCCAAGGTTTGGGGGTGAAAATCCCACTTTTTCCCGAGGTTTGGGGCTGAAAATCCCATTTTTTTCTGATTTTTTTCGCGTTAAGTCCCACTTTTTCCTGATTTTTTGGGGGTAAAATTCCCTTTTTTTGTGAGTTCTGGGGGAAAGTCTCCTTAGCCTGAGGTTTTGGGGTGAAAATCCCACTTTTTCTTGAGTTTTGGGGTGAAAATCCCATTTTACTTTGAGGTTTTGGGTGTGAAATCCCCTTTTTTCATGACGTTTGGGGACAAAATTCCCATTTTTTCCGGGTTTGGGGATGGAAAATCCCCGTTTCTCTGGGTGGGGGGGTGTGGTAGGGGAGCTCAGGTGTGCCCAGGTGCCCCCAGGTGAGCCTCCAGGTGATCCCAGGAGCCCCAGTTGTCCCCAGGTGTCCCCCAGGTGTATCCCAGGTGTCCCCCAGGTGCCCCCAGAAGCCCCCAGGTCTATCCTAAGTGTATCCCAGGAGCCCCCAAGTGTATCCCAGGTGTATCCAAAGTGTATCCTGGGTGCACCCAGGTGTATCCCAGATGTGCTCAGGTGTATCCCAGGTGCCCCCAGG